CCCCCAACTCCTTAAAACAGAAAATGCCTGAAAACTGGCCTCTTCTGTGAAGCTGGGAGGAAAGGGATGCAGGAGCCATTTCAGTGTCTCGGGGTTTTTCGGCTGGAGTGGTTTAGAGAGTAAAGGTCTGGTTCCCAAACTGAGAGACCGGGGAGCAGGTTAGCCCCAGTACTGAATGCTCTCCTGTTTTTGCAGGGTATAGCATCACCTCAGCCTCTGTTTATAGACTGCTCCTCAGCATCTATTTCAGGTTTTAACATAACGGTGTTTATGAAGTAGCTGACTTAACACTAGCTCCTTTGTGCACTTACAATTTGAAGTATGCTGTCCTAGAGGAAATTGAAGTTCTGAAACACTGCATACTTATCTAGATGGTTCATTTCCCTGGTCCAGTCACCCACGGTAGCTAAAGGTTACAGGTTTGCATTCCACAGATTCCAGTACACCAAAGTGAATACTGCACATTGACGTAATTTTGAGCACAGGAACCTTGTGTTTGCCTTCTCTTTTTCATAAATACCGCCAGGCTCAGCAGTGGTGGGCTGAGTTCAAACTAGGTTTACTTGACCTGACTTAAAATACAGTTTTGAGCAAAGTATAGAAAGTGCTGTGGATGAGTTTGAGACGCGAACAGTTCGGCAGCTCCAGCCAGCAGTCTTGTCAAGTGAAGCACAGCAAGATTTGTAGTGGGAGATAGTACCTTTTATTAGGCCAGCTGGTGTTGGGGGAAACAGATGCGTGTTTAGATACACAAGTGCTTCAAGTCTGAAATAGAAATAGCAAACTTGAAGTTAAGGACGCGCTAGGAGCAGTTGTTCTAATTCAATTATAAACTTAATTATACAAACCAGTTAGTTTGAGGGAGCGAGGGGTGCTGGTACGTACGTAGCACAGGGAGAAGGTGGTGGAGATAAGGTGGTCCAGGTCACACGTTTATCCCTATAGAAGGCTTGTCTATTTATGGGATGGTGCTGTAACCAGTGCCCAAGGAGTGGTCTGGGTTAAAAATAAATCCCTTCCCCCCCCCAAAAAAACCCCCTAGCGATCTGATTTACACCATGGTCTCGCAGCTGAATGAGCGTACCCGAGATGAGTGTGAGGGTGGGAATTTCGTAAGCTTTTTGGGCACTAAAGCCAATGCAGCTTTTATATATCTGAAGCCTGTGGGTTTTAGCAATCAGAAAAGTGTTTTCATGATATTTGGTAAGTTGTCATGGGTCAGGATGCAGAGGTTAAAGGTGGCGTGGTAGTTTTGTGGTGCTAAAAAATTGTTCACTTCTATTGTAAAAAGATGTAGCTAAGTGAGAAACCGAACGTGAACAGCCCTGTGAGTTCACTGACTCTTCCAAAATTAAAAAGTGGGATATTATTATAGGTACTATGTTTCAAACCCCATTATTTGAGCCATAAGGTTAGACAGGAGGTGAGTAAGAAGCTAATTTCTGGGTATGTGGGATGGGGCAGGTCGCATAAGCAATGTTTTTCAATTCTGCTGCAGTTTCTTTTCCCTTTACACAGCATGGTGTACACTTTCACATGTCTACTGTTTCCAAGCAGAGAAACGTAACCTGTGTTTAATCATTGTCCCAAAACAGTGTAAATGAACTGATAACTGTTGTTAAAACTTGTTTTTCAGTAGCCTTGAAACAGTAAGAATGAGTGAAGTTACTTTGAACTACTTAAAGGTCAGGTCTACGTTAGTGCTCCTAGGATTAAAAATAAAAAAACCAACTCGTTTTCAAATGAATTGTACAAAGTCTTTGGTATGGTAGCACTTGCCTTCCAACTGCTTTTGGCTAATAGTGGAGAAAATTCTCCTTGCTCTGAAGTCCTGAAGTGCTCGCGTTTGAATTCTCACCTTGTCCATAGATCCGCACTTTGGTGGTGAATCCCCACGTTTCCCGTGCAGCAACGCAAGCTGGAAAAACCCTTCTCTGGAACTGTAAGTGTCTGTTGCAGAGTTAAATAGAGCCCATTAAATACGGGCTGAAGTGTCCCACTGAGAGCATTTTTAAAACTTTTGAAAGCGTCTTTAAATTCCGCCGTGTTTCTCTCGAACTTTGAAATACTCAAATGTATTGTGGGCCAGGGTATAAGCGTGCAGGTGGGAGTTGTGGGGAGGAGAAGCCATGCTGCCAGCAGCTGGGAAGGAAAAGCAAGCCACCGTTTCTTCGACATCAACCCCAGTCCCTGCTTAGAGAATCGATGATGGTTTGTGGCTCGAAGATGAACAACTTTTCCAGCTCCAACTCGCTTATCGCGTAGTTTATTTGTGCACCTTGGTCTCCCCACCTCAAACACTCCCAGGGTACCGTGTATATTTAATTCTAGTTTATGGTTCTTTAATCACTCCTGAATGTAGCACCCTATACCTTATGGTCTAACAACTGCTGTCATGGACCATCTAATACTCTGTAATAAGACGTGACAAAATGCCATTTCGAAATGGTGATGATCCGAAGATGTTAGGCTTGAGGTGAAGTTGTAACGTTGTGGCCCTTTACTCTTCCGTCACTGTGAGTTAGTGCAGCTATCGAAGTGCCCCGTGCCACTAAAAGATTAACAGAGAGAACTGAACCATTTTATAACCTGGCGGAGCTTTAGCATGCTCATCTTTTCACGCGGAAAATATTTTCATATTGTTTAAATTACCTTCCAAAAATATTTGACGTTTTTACTACCCTATTAACTGTAAAGAAATGATACTGTTCCCCCTCCTCAGCCCACCCCTTTTTGATTTTTCTGAAAATAGCACGCATATGTATACATCCTTCGTCCACACTGAAGCCTGTGTAAGGAGCCAGTTTGTGTGAATGACGGTGCCAGGGCAGCGATGGGGAAGGTCATTTCACAGAAGTGACTTAACAGGGCAATATCCCATGCTCATGGCAGGCATGCTGCTTCTGTAATAAATTTAAATCAATTTATTGCACATCACGGACTTCTGCTATTTTGTTCTAAATTCTGTAACCAGATCAAGGTCAAGGAAGCAAAAGATGAAAGGGGGAGGGGAAAGGAAGCCAGAAGAGGGGTGAGGTGGGCAGGAAGGGGGAAGCAGGACGAGGAATGGTTCAGAGCAGGGTTTGAAGGAGGTGAGCAGAACAGAGCTCTCGCACTGAGAGACGGGAGGGATGAGCATTACTCATTCGGAGAACAGAGAAGGAAAATGCCTTAGTCTTCTGGGCGTATAGGAGTCGGGAGTATTGCTCACTTAGGTTTTTCTCCTTGGTTACATTTATGTATCGGTACCATTTCTAAATACCAGATACACTGTTGATAGTCCTTGCAAATGTATTATTCTTTTTGTTGCCAGTTGCTGAACAGAAGTACTTCTGGACTTCTGATGTGCCAAAGAATTGCTGCAGTGACTGGGAATTCAGAAGGAAGGGTGTCCCAAGGCCATTTAGAATATGCTGTTACAAGGTTTTGCTGTAGTGTTTTGGTCTGAGATCAATTAAATACGCTTTTCATTTGATTCATGCTGGAGAACAAACAGTCTAGATCTTCAGATGCCTCTTGAGGTCGATATGTTTTCGTTCAGTGAAGGGAGGGTTTTGCTTAGCTTCTTCCTCTGCAGTAGTGTGAAATCTCATTTTAAATCCAAACGGCCCTTGTAGTTTCACTCAGACTTTATATTGTTAAGTGTTAGTTAACCTGTTCTCTCAAACAGATATTTTTCCTCTGTCTGAAAGGGCTTGCAGTATCAAAAGTGAAATCATAGGAACAAGAAGCAGCCAAGTGTAAATGTCTGTGGAACAAGGTAGGCTCTGACAGCTGCCATTTAAATCTGTGCTAAGGCTGGTGAGATTTGTGGTAAGTTGTTCCAAACTTGCAGTGCTCTTTGTAATTGCGAAGCGCCGCATGAGCAATTTGCAAGCGTGGTATGTTTTTGCATACATGGAAAGGAAAGGAGAAGGATGATGTGAAGAAGCTGGCTGACTCCAGGAAATAATCAGATCCAATTATGTTGCTGATGTTTAACCACTGACTTTACCGGGATGATATTTCTATATCATGTTAATTGTGTGAGTCACGTGGAACACAGAAGACTTTTGTGGAAGCTTGGGGGGGCCCTTAAGAAGGTGAAACATGGTTGCTTATGTTTCCTTTACAGTGAAATAATTCAGAAATAATAAACTTGCATACAGTCCCTTCTGCTCCTTCAGGACCTTGCACAAAACCCCATGCATTTGCTCCCACATATAGGAGAGAACTGGTCCCCAGGAAGGCTATTTTGTATTTTTCAGAAGAAAGAAGCTGCTCTATTTATCACATACATAAAATCAATTTGCGTGTATTTGATTTAAACTTTACTTTGAGGTTTGTAATCCACTGTGTTTTTGAAGGAATTTTCAATAACTTCTCATCCTAGTCCAAAACTATTTATTAAAAGCAGCTCTAGGCAGTCAGTACCTGCACTACAGCAGGAAAGCAGAGCTATTGGCAGCGGCTATTTTTCGTTTACTGGCTTGAACTCTGTCCTCTGAAAATACGTGCTGTAGTTTCTCTAAAGCTATTCTGGTATTAAATACCTTCTCTGGGAGGTTTGCTTGCTCCTGCACACTTGTAAGTGGACCCAAGCTAATGTCTTTTCCACTTAAAATTCAGCAAAGTTTGTCACGTTTAAGAACTGCGAGCAATAGTTTCCTGAGCCCAGAAAATAAAAATCTACGTTTGTTACACAGATGATCGTTTCAAAAATGCTTTCTTTTCAGTGTTACAGACATTGGTTTTTCTCTAAACTCTGTTAGGAATTTGAGTGGGCAGTAACAGAAACATGGAAGATGATTATTAGTGATAAATTGCAAATAATTTGATCTGCGTTTTTGAAAATGGCAAATAGATAGTTGCATTTCTCTAGAGTTAGTCCGTTGCACAGTCCAGATAGTAGAAAAACCTGACCCTGGGGAATCCTGCTGATAGTACAGAGTCTTATAACCAGGAAGCCACTTTGCTTTTGCTTTCGGAGATGATAATGACAGTTCTCCTCTTTGTTTTAGGATACCTGCAATCTCTCGTATGTGGAAGGAACGCTAGCAGAAAGGTGAAAAAATGGGTGTTAAAACATTCACTCATAACTCCCCTGCTCACAGTCAGGAGATGCTGGGAAAGCTGAACATGCTCCGCAACGATGGACATTTTTGTGATATCACCATCCGCGTCCAGGACAAAATCTTCAGGGCGCACAAGGTGGTTTTGGCAGCCTGCAGCGACTTCTTCCGTTCCAAACTCGTTGGCCAAGCAGAAGACGAGAGCAAGAGCGTGTTAGACCTGCACCATGTGACGGTGACTGGTTTTATACCTCTTCTGGAATACGCTTACACAGCAACACTATCTATTAATACAGAAAACATTATTGATGTGTTGGCCGCAGCCAGCTACATGCAGATGTTCAGCGTTGCTAGCACGTGCTCAGAATTCATGAAGTCCAGCATTTTATGGAATACGCCCAACAGCCAGCAAGAGAAGGTGCTGGATGCAGGACAGGAGAACAGCGCAAACTGCAATTTTACTTCTCGAGACGGTAGCCTTTCTCCAGTTTCTTCTGAGTGCAGTGTAGTGGAAAGAACCATTCCTGTTTGCCGAGAGTCACGAAGAAAGCGCAAAAGCTACATAGTTATGTCTCCTGAGAGCCCCCTTAAGTGTAACACACAAACAAGTTCCCCCCAAGTGCTGAATCCTTCGACTTCTTACCCGGAGTCCAGAAATCAGCCTGTGGACTCGTCCTTAGCTTTTCCCTGGACTTTTCCTTTTGGAATTGATCGAAGACTGCAGTCTGAGAAGGTGAAGCAGGCGGAGAACTCTAGGACTTTGGAAATGCCTGGGCCCTCCGAGTCCAACAGAAGAATTGCAGATTACGTGACTTGTGAGAGCACAAAAGCCAGTTCTCCCCTTGTGATTGAAGAAGACGTGCGTGTCAAAGTGGAAAGGTTAAGCGATGAGGAGGTTCACGAGGAAGTATCGCAGCCTGTTAGCGCATCCCAGAGCTCTCTGAGCGATCAACAGACAGTCCCAGGAAGCGAGCAAGTGCAGGAAGATCTCCTGATCAGCCCGCAGTCTTCCTCTATAGGTATGACTATTTCTGGGGTTAGATAGATGTACAAATAGGTATGTGTGCACTTGCGATTCTGTTGGAGGAAGTCTGCTTCATGTCTTTTCATGCTTTACTTTTGCGAAACTGCAGTTTGATGAAATGTTACACGTAAACCCCTGGTGGGGGGATGGTACTTGGAGCTCTTCCAATAAGTTTGCAGCAGGCAGCTAAGAAAGGTAAGCCTGTTGATAGACTTCCTTATTCAGAAGAGATTGATAAACCCTTTTTACCTCTGGTTGCTTGACCGGGGAAAAGAATTCTGTTCCCAGTAGTGTCAAAAGGCCCGATCTCAGCTGAGCTGCAACACCAAATCTGAAAGACCTGTGTCTGTAGCCACAGAGGGGTGGAATGGTACTTTGCATCAGACATGAAATCTTGTATAATCACGACAGAGAGCCTTTGTTAGAAGATTCGCAAAATAAGTGGTGGAACAGTGTCATCTTAATGCCCCAGACAAAAACAAAACCACACAGTCGTAATGTTGAGAGCCTTTCCATTTCTGTGGGATTTGGTTCGCAAGTTACTTCTTCAAATACTGCCAATTGCCAAGAGAAACCTTTTTTCCATGAAAGACAGTTTGAGGCCAATTTTGGGTTCTTCTAGCAGACAGTTGTTTATAAATGGCTAATACTTAAAGGTTACTGTAAGAATCCTTTTTTTCCTCTTTGCACAGAATGCATTGAATGGCTTTTAGTAAGTCAGAAAATGGGGGTTTTGCAATATTTCTAGTTTAATTACCAAATTTTTGCCCAAGTCAGCTATTTTGCTTTCAGTTAAGTGGCTTGACCTGTGCTCGGTAGAGTTTGTTTACTGAAAGATTTTTAATAAAGCCTGTTTTGTTTGAAGGCCGTAAGAATGGCAAATGTACTGGACGGCTTCATTCAAATAATGTATACATGAAAGGCTGCTTCAGTTAATTAAATAAATAAACAAACTAAACAAAGTAAATAAATGTAGCCTAGTAGCCTGCATTATTTGTTTTGTTTGGTCAGCATAACACTGTGCTTTCTCTGAAGAAAGTGAGTGTTAGATCAGTCTGACCATTCCAGGATTGCAACATATAATCAGTATTGTTGAGCTCTTCAGGTAATACTCACTAAAAGAAAATGAAAATCAGGTAATACACTCTAGAAAGAAATTAAAATATCTTCCATTTGTCCCATCCTTCAAGACTTTATGTTGCTGGGTTTGTTTGTCAGTTTGTGTAGCTCATGTATTGATAGTTTAGATTGGTAATGCTTTTTCCAAACGAAAATGTTTTATTTAGTGGAGACAAGGCTGTTTACCTTTTCTGAGAAGCAGACTTAATATCAGTTTAAATATAAAACTTTAAATGTACTTTGCCAAAACAGCGCATAGATTAAAAACTAAACAATTTGTTTGCTGGGTAGTCTCCAGGAAAAGTGGTCGTTGTTCATGAAGAGGTTTAGTTTGACTCAGTTTTTAACTCATTATAGTAGGAACTTCGGAAAGGGCCTCGCCAGGGCCATGTGAGAAGAGATGCAAATTATTTCATCGACATAATTGTGCCATCACAGACAAAATAAAACAAGTAGAAATAATTATTAGAGAAAGTCAAAAATAGAGTATCGAGCGAATGGAGGGAGTTTTACCAACTATAAATATCACACCCAAGCAGCTTAAAGGAACAAACTGGGTATGAATTCTAGATTACAGATGAATAGCATACGAGCTACGGAAGTCTTGAGAGGACATCTCTTGGAGTTAGAAATACCAGCCAAATTGCATAGTCAAAAGTGGCTTGAATGAGTTGAGACATGAGAATGCGAGCCTAGGACTGAATTGTAGAGGTAGAGGTGCCACTGAATGCTATAAAATCTGCTTTTCTAAGACAGCCTTAGTGTTAAACAAAAATTACTTTGAAACCTACTCCAATAGCCAGGCACCTTACTGAATTCTGTTGTTGCTTTAGCCAGTTTCCTGAAATTATTTCTGTTGACAAGCACTTTGTGCATCCATCTTCAAAAGGTATCTGTGTCGAAGCCACATGATGTTTAGGGGAAAGTTTTCCATTTTCTATTTCCTATTATAGGTTTTGTACCACTGGGATCATGTACCTGACCATTTCTATGGTATGGGGCAGAGGATCTTAGGCTTTAGGGATTATAATGTTTAAACTTAAATGTCTGTTATTGAGGATATTAGTACAGCATGTTTTTCCTTAAAATGGCTACAGAGAGAAAAAAAAACAAACCAGTAGCCCCAAACCTTCAAAGTACAAGTCTGTTCTTTGTCCTTGAATGTGTTTGAATCAATATTTAGTGGTCTTGGCATAACATTATTAACCATACTCGTAATAGTTTTGATTCACATCTTGCTATAAAGGGGAACAGTGCTCTTGCTTTTTAGCACAGTTCACATGTACCTAATAAATAAGGCACACTTCGTAGCTAGAAAACACATTTTTACATGCACTTTTTGCGTCCCAAAGATGTATTTCCTTATGCAGTAACATGAGAACAGTAAATGGAGGCAGCAAGATATGTTCAAGTACAGCTTTCTCTTCCCTGAACATATTTTCTTTGTATAATTGCATGTATTTATCTCAATGCCTGTCTCTCTTTCTGATATTGCAAAAAGCTCTTATTCACTCCTTGGGCAATTTCAAGACTTGTTCATTTGCAATTTATTATACTTGGAAGCACTTTATAATATGGACGGAGACGTGAAGCAGGGTCTTGATAAATAAGTCATTATGGTTACAACAATAGCTATGTCTGAGAAGATATTTTCATAACTCATTAGCACTGTTCCTATTTGAGAGGTGAAGGCATAAAATTAAACCTAAGAGCAATTGGGCTTATTTTTCAGTAGACTTTTGGTTAAGTACTTCATGAAAAAGAAGGATAAATCAAAATGGGATTAACTTTTGTCACTTTATAGATTGCATAGTTGCTGAATTTCCCAAACATAGTTTGTCAGCTTGTAACAAAATTCAAAATTTTGATTCTGCTGGTGTTATTTGGAAACTGCTGGTGATGCAACTTCCCTCCCATCACTGGGCCCATAACGTGAGGCCACGTTAAGACAATAATCTTTCCCTTCATTAAGGTTCTGTAGAACAGACTGTCCTTTATAGGGACAGCCTTTTTTGGAGACAGCGCTCTCATTCTTTTTGACAAAATAAGCACATTTCCTGCTTCTCTCTCCATGTCTTTGTTCCTTCTCTTTGTTTTTCCATTTTGTCTGACACTTGTCATTGTAGACCTAATGATAACTTGATTTTCCTAGCGAGCTTTAGGGAAGGGTTCCCAAATTCAGACTGCCCATTCTCTTAGAAGGCAGAATTATTTTTACCATAGCAGCAGGAGCAGCTCCTAGCACTGCCCTACGTTTGCTTGTTCTCAAGATGTAGGTGTAGAGAGAGAAATGTCATTCCCTGATCTGTTCTCAATCGCATGGATTTGGTGGTCGAGACCCAAAGGTGGCTTGGCTGTTCAGAAGAGTTCAAGCGTTGCTTAGCATTCAGTCTCAAGAGAGGGAAAAGGAGGAATTACTTCTGCACCAGTTCCACGTGACTTTCATGCTACTGATCATACAAACGTCATGGATGGGAGCCCCTGATCCTTTTGAAATTTGGCAGAGTTCAGTCATTCCTTTTTGTCATCTCCCATTGCACCCATAGACATTATCAGAGGAAAAGGAGGAATGTGAGGAGATCCAGTCTGCTCGCTTAAAGATGGAACAACACATGGTTTATCTAAATGGTCACACGTAACCAACCAGAGGATTTTTTTTTTCATCAAGGATTATGGTTGGCAGGGGGTGGGTACCAGCTGTTAGAATTGTTCTAGTACTGTACTGCTGACTTCGCTCCCTGTTATGGTGACATCTGGCCAAAATAACCTTGCTTAATATGCCTAAACAAGGACTGAACGCCAAACTCCCAAGTGGTGATGAGGGAGGCCCATCTGAGCAACAGCCGTATCAGGTGAATGAAGTCGTAGTTTTGCTTTAGTGCTGCATTTACCTTAGATTCTGTTTCCAAAAGCCACTTGAGCTACAATTGCTTTATTGTTGGTGCACTGAACAAAGCTCTGGAATGGTTTTGTGTATACATTTCTCTTACAAAAAGATGTTTGGTCTCTTTTGCGTTGCATTTCTAATTTCTCAGAGGGTTCTTCCTGTCTTATCAATAAATGAAGGCATTGTCAACAAATACATATGTATGGAAGATCTGGAACACAAAAGCGATGTAGCGTAGCAGGATTGAGCTCTTTATTGCTCAAGAAGTCTTGAAAACTGATGAAATGGTCCCTTTAGGTGAAGGTAACGTTTCTGCTTTACTGGATGTGTTTCGAAAACTCTGGCTGTATTTAACATAGATTCTTTCCATTTTCTAGGTGTGCCAAATATTTGCCCTTTGCTGAGTTGTCCATTTACTAGATAATTTGTGCAGCGGAGAAGTTGAGTTGGAACACGTTGCTTCTGGGTTTTCTAAATGATTTTTCCCAGGACAATTCTTACCACCCAGGGAGCAGTGTGGGAAAGCAAGCTTTATGTGTATTTACCTGCCCCCCCAACCCTTTTTGAACACTTATTTGCATTAAATTGCCCTTTTTTCTTTGCCTAGGCTCAATAGATGAGGGGGTTACGGAGGGATTACCCACACTCCAAAGTACCTCTGGCACTAACGCTCATGCAGATGATGATGATCGGTATGTACCAATGCAGTGTGCAAAGTGTTCCGCAGCAAGTGCTGTGCTGTAATTAACCTACCCAGCCTTAATCCCAGAATGTTCAGTTGTTCGTACATCTACGTCTCTGTGTTGATCAAAGTACAATCAGTGCCTGAAGGATCAGATGCTTTAGAAGAATGTAGGTGACGAAAGTCAGAATTTGCTTACTTGTTGCTTTTCATTTCCTGTCTTATTTCCAGGCAACACTGGTGAAGAAAGATACTGATTTTTTTTCTGTTTCTTCATCACTGCTCTTTATTAATAAATATTAAAAAAAAAGTCTTTACTGTGAAACAGGTGTGGTAGTTGCATGTGTGCTAAAGCTGACATAAAGCCACCAAAGCAACAAAATGAAAGCAAGTACCTAGTCTTGGCTTCACCAGACGTTGCTATTGCCATAAACCACAGAGCAAGCAGAGCAGCCTTAAATCTTGTCTCCTAAACTTTATGCATGTAACTTCTTACCAAGATGCTGCGTGTCACTTACTGTAAATATTTAGCGGTCTTTTACTGCACTGGGAGGAGTGATTTATTAAGGGAATCCCTTATAAGGGAGGGTTGGCAGAAAAGACCGAACTAAAATGGGTCTGTTTGGTCAAAGACGTATCATAATTCTGTTAGAGTGAAGTGATGTACCTGCAAGTGGCATACAAGGGTACACGCAGCTGGTTTGACTTTCATCTCTTTGCTTTTGTGCTATGTGTCAAGTATGGCGTATAGCTAGCTATTCCCTTTCTAAGCAAAGCTTCTGAAGTATTGACAAGCTGGCTTTTGCATAGTATTTTGTCAGACAAGTGGGTCTGGGGAAGAAGCGTGAACCTTTGGGAGTTGTTCCAGAAACTGTGTCAAGTGAAACTCCCTGTAGAGATAGCTATCAAGAGCTGCATTTTCATAGCTCATAAAATCTTGCCTGCCATTTCCATCTAAAACTTGTCCCATTGTAGGATTAAATCTGAAGGGGAAATAACTGCCTAGATAAGATTCTTTGTATGACGGAGATTTTCTCTATCTGCTAACAAATCAGTGTAAAAGTAGTACCCAGCACTTAGGGTTTGAATTGATAATAGGAGCACATGTTGCATTAGAACTAATCCAGGTTTTTAAAGCTATAATTCTAAAGTCAAGTGGCATACATATTTTCAGCGGTGGATTATTTCAGAAATTTCCTATAAAATTGCAGAGCTTCGGCATAAATGGCATAGGAAATTCAAAACACATAAAATCCTTTTAACACACTGAAAATGCCTACTAAAATATCTCTTCCTTGGAGAGAAGGAAAGAGTATTTGCCTTAGTTTATGCCCAGGTTTGAAAATAGTCTCAGAGTAACAGAGGCATCAACAAAATGAACTAGAATTTGCACGTTGTTTATATAACAATAAGGGAGCTAATAGTTAGGGGAATTTATGAGAAGTTCAGACTCCAGAACTCAAAAGTTTCTACCAAGAGATTTATTTTATACATTCAAATGAACGTGCCAAGACTCTACTTATTCCATGAATCAGTTAAACATGTAAAATAGTGCTTCCAAGTCCCCAGAAGTTTCCTTCCACATGCGTGCGTGTATGTGCCTGTCAGGATGGGGCAGTGCATTCTGATACGCTGTGACAGCCCTTCTAGCACTGGGCTTTTGAATTCCCATTTCAAGCACAGGATGGGCACATCAGCAAATTAATATGGCCTGTCACTCACTGTGCAGCAATTTGGGCACACGGTTTTGGGTCCATAAAACAAGATAATGCAGAATTCTGAATAAAATCAAACATTTAGCTCTAGCTGAGTCAGATGAAAATGTGATTAATAAATCATACAGATGGAGAAAGTTTCCCTTGCTTTTTGTTTGGTATTTTCTTTAATGCACCTTTCGTTTAAGTACGGGTTGTACATTGCTTTGTTAGTAGAGATTCTCCAAATGTCAGAATCAGTTGTGAGTGGGCAATGCAAACTTACATTGAAAAATACGTATTTGAGTATATATTTATTATATTTCTATTCAGAAAACAGAGCAAAAGACCGCTCCATCTAAAGTTCTTTCAATATGACGTCCTTATCGCTGTGGAAAGAATCATAAATATTTCCAAATTAAGGCTATCTTATCTCATGAGTTTCTGTGTTAAATGATTAACATAATTAATTGATCCTCCTCCATACCATAATCAGTGTTTCATAAACAGCAGGTCACATGTAATTGTTGTCGGCTTAATAGGCACGCAGGAATCTGTTAAGTATTAAACCTACCGTTTCACAGTGAAGCCTGATATATTCTTTCTCTGACGTTTCGCATCTGGATTGCAATGCACTTTCCTAGCCTAGGTCTGTAATTCAGCCATGGCTGGTTTAACAGTTAGTCTCTCTATCAGTTCATGGCTGCACTTAAAAAGGAGTTGCAAAGACTCAATTAGAAAAGATCTCTCTGATCCAATATAATGAGAACCTCCACTTTTCTAAAATAATTGTTATTTACAAATACATAACATTTCTAGGCTCACTGAGCATTCTGGCATTCGCATTTGTCAGAGCTTAGTTCTACCTAGTTAAATATGTGTATAATCTCTTGGTGAAAAGAAGAAAAAATTGCAAGTAGCATACTTCAGCATTACAGCGAAAACATTTTAAACCTGTTACAGAAATTCTCTGAGCTGTTAGACGAATCTCAGCTGTTAAACAGCCACATGTATCCCAAATTGCAAGTCATGAAAACTTGAGCATATATGGGGAAAGCGAAGGAGGGGAGAGAAAATAAAATTGTGTTTCAAACGTTATTTCTTCATTGTGCTAAGGTCCGCAGTTATGTCACCAATAGGTATTTCAGCCTGCTTGCAGTGTAAGGATGGAAAAAGACATGCCAGTCACTGGTAGCTGGAGAGCCTCGTGGTCCTCATTTTGTCTGCTTTAACCAGCCTTTCTCATCATGAAGCTTTTAGGTAGGAAAAAAGCAAACTTTATTTTAAATTTGTTCTAGGGAGGTGGTCCCCATAGCACTTCTCCTTTCTGTTTCAGTTGCAGAGAAGCTGGCACCAGTAACAGGCTTTGAGGATGAGCTAGCCCAAGAGAGCTGGAATCAAAAGGAGAGCTGTGGCTCCTAATTTCTGCCCTAGTATGAGTATCTCCCTAGAAAGCTCTAGGAGCACGATGTGCTTTTGCCTCTTCACAATCCCCTAACACAGGAATGAGGGAGGAAGGAGCTAAGAAATATGTCACCAGAAGATGAAGTTCTCTACAAAGCAGGTTAAATGGTGTCACAGAAAAACAAAACGTAACTCTTACTTGAGCTTGCTAGATATGTCTGTCTATACGTATGTCTAGGAGCAGGAGTTCTTGCTGCCCAGCCAGTCATCCCTTTATCAGCCCTGCACTGCAGCTGTCCCTTCTGTTGGCACATAGCTGTGAAAATTTTAATTGTGAATTCTCCAGTCAGCTGAGTGCAAGAAACCTTTTCTGAAGGGATTTGCCCCTTAGCCAGACTATGTGACATGTGTCAAATACCAGATGAGGGGAAAGTTGTCCATCCTGGGCCCAAATCGGTGTGGCTATTTGATTATTGGGTTATTATGGCAGCTGGACTTCCATGCCTTATGCTTTTTTTGCAGTGTTGTTCTTTTTTCCTAATATTTTTAGATAACAGACCTGTCTGTTAGTCAATGTTGATAGGGTTTTCATTGGTAAAGTGGAAAGGGTATGGTCATACCAACTCCAGAGACAAAACTAGCGTTTCCACATCTAAGTAAAATCTGTTCTTTATCCAGTGATCTGCTCACAAAAAGGAGCAGGAGTACCAGAGTTTGTGTCAGAAATTTGGTTAGACAAATCAGAACCTATGTTTAAAACCCCTCTCATTTATTTCAGGTGCATCTGGTAAGCCATCAGTTAGCTTTTTTAGACCCATAAGTGGCAGTGAACTACGTTCTGCCAGGCCCAGGATAGGAGCTGGTAACTTCCCTCTTGCAAGTATTCCCTTCAGCAAAGATCAACAAATCTGTCAGCATGTATTTTTTCCACAGCTCTCTAGGACCCTACTGTGTATAAAAAGAAGTGAAGGACAATAAAACTTCTTCCTTAGAGCAAATATTATTCCAGTTCCATGTGAGACTAGAAAATCCTTACGGGTTTTACAGACTGGTTGATACTAAACTCCTGCAGGAAACTCTTTTATCTTGTGTGTATTGAGAGGTACCTGGTGCTGTCTCTGTCCAGCTAAATTTTACAACTGGAACATTAGCTACTGAGACCCATCATTGTACTCAGAATTCAGATACACAGTTCTCGCAGTTGTGTTGACATCCATTTTGGGAGTAGATAAAGACAATTAAGGTATTGATTTTAAAGAGACGATTCTAGTTCTTATCCCCCTGTGCTGATCTGGTCTGTGGATTTTTGCACGATGTGTCGGAAAATCTGTTTGTGCAAAGTGCACGTTTCATTCCTGTGAATGTTAGGAGTCCACAAATTTCAGCCTAACCTTGAAAACAACAATCTGGGCTTGAGATGGAAGCAGGCCAGCAACAGGATGTGTTCAGTTAGGGAGACTTTCTGTCTACGTGCAACAGTTGACATCATCGTTGTACTTTTTTCTCCATACGTTTCAGTTTAGTAAAAGTAAAATTGCATTGTTCTGGCCATGGAATAGTCAGGGTCAGAGCAGTTCCCTGCTGCCAGTGACGTCTGATCTTCCATCAGGCTGTGAGCAAGCTGAAATGTCTATTTCAACAAAAAATATAGACCTTAATGCTCAGGAAAGGGAAACCCCAGGTAAGTACAAACTCCTGTTGTTATGTTTGTACCAGCAGATTTGGTTTTATTTCACTGTGCCCTTTAGCGAAGCAAGTTCCTTGCCAGAGGACTTGGATTATAACACTGTAGTTCCCTTAAACGGTTTGCAGCTAGAGGCTATGTAGGAGCAATTAGTCGGTTTTAAATAAATTACCTTAAATTGTTCCTTTATTACAGTCTGTGTGCTGTTTTTTAAATACAGCGCTTGAGCTATTCTCATAGAGCCGATTGAATCAGACAAGGAGCAAGTATGGATTCATTAGATTAATATTTTAAACTTAGAAATACGTAATTGTAAATACTAATGTTTGTTCATTGAACTTGGATTGAAATGAAAATGAATTGGCTTTAATTTCATTTGCAAATATCACTGAAGCTGCAAAATACTCCTCTGCTTTCCAATTTGCTCAGTTCTTTAACTTCTTCCTCAGGGACCGTTTGCTGATTGTAAATCATCAATATGCTTGAGAGAATGCCTATGCCTGGAAAACAAAGTCCAGTTTGCAGCTGGTGCTCAGACTTGTTGCCCGAAGAACCAGGAGTCAGAGGTTATCCTCTGGTTTTGTTCAGATGTGCAAAGTCAGTGACTGTAAGACTTCGGGTGCAGGTCAGACGCATTGCTATAGGGGCAGAGATTTCCAGCATAAATGTAGATCTCGACAGAAGTGCGAAAGGCCAGTCTTTTTCTTCTTCTCATACAAATGTGTTCAAGGTTCAGATTTCCATGGGCGAGGCTTCTTATTTTTTTCCTCTAGCTTGCTTGTAAATCAGTGAATTTTTTCTTTGTAGTTTGGAGAACGTTCAATATCCCTACCAACTCTACATTGCTCCTTCTACCAGCAGCACAGAGAGACCCAGCCCAAATGGTCCAGACAGACCTTTTCAGTGTCCAACCTGCGGGGTCCGCTTCACTCGCATTCAGAACTTAAAACAACACATGCTTATCCACTCAGGTAAGAAACGTTACTGTTTCCAAGAATTACTAATTTAGAGACTTGCAGAGGTTTGCTCGCTGTGCAGCACATACAATAATGCTGTTCTTTTTTAATCACCTGCCAAGCGCTTGAGAATTGATTTCAGAAAGATTGGGTGAGGTATGTCTCACTGAACGCTTGTTTTGATACATCAGAACTGACTGATAGCTCTACTCATGGATGATTAGCATTTGTGTGGACTGAAAAAAGCCTGATTGCCTGAAACTCATCCGAATAAGTCGTTTTCATGATAAAGATTTGAGATGAAATAGAGTATACTTGGCTTTTTTGTTATACTAAAGAAGTGATGTAGATTGACGTTCTTCCTCTTACATGCCATAATTGTCTGCTGTGTTTTAGAGGAGACTTGCAGATAAGATAGAAAATGTTATCTGTCCTTGCACTGAAGAATGTTGTATGCCTTCGGATCTCAGAATTTTTGGAGGGATTGCAGGACAGCTGAATTGGTTTGATAATAAATGTAGCTACTGCAGGTAGTACAGGTAGCAAAAGGTTTGTGCGAACGCCTTCTCTGAGTCTTGATCCCCGAATTGTTGCATTCATTTTGATTTCTAATCCAAGTAGGAACTCCTAATGTCTTTGCTGTCAGTGTTTTTCAAGACTTGTTAGTATTATCTGGCAATAGCACTGACATTTTAGTGAATGAAGGGAATATTAAAGGGCTATCGCACTTGAGCACTAAGTCTCGTGGTTTACCATCTCCTGGTCTGAGCTTGACTCTTACCTGCACACAGATGCTGCACCATTTTGGGGCAGAGCAACCGCAATTGTCAAGGTGTCATTTTTTCACCGCCAGCAATTATTTGTCAAATCCCTTCAAGTAAAATGCCCATGCTGTGTTTAGGCCAGGGGTAATAGAGTGTTTAATGGTAGAGGTAATATGTGTTTAATACTTTAAAAAGCCAACTTTTTGAGCGTATCAGGTGTGAAATTATCCCAAGATGGTTGCTAAAGCTGTAACTGACAGCAGACAGGCATGCTGCGGTAAAGCATCTCTGGCCAACCTGTCGGCTGGCAACCCCTGGGCAAAGTTGGGAGAGATTTGAATAGCTGTTTCAGTGTAATTAGCATGCAAAAGAAACTTTCAAACCTTGTAAATGTTGAAAGTGTTTTCACATGAGCAAAATGGCTGAAGAGATTTTTCTCAAACTAGCAGAGGAAATAGAGGCCCTCGGACAGTACGAAAGCATGAAAAGTTTTCGTTCCGCAAGACAATATTCTAGGATATTAACTTGTTTTCACATGCTTAACAAGGAGTTTCAGTGTAACCTTAACTACAGCTTTCTCTGTATAAAAGCCCCAATTAAAAGTTCAGCTCCTGCTTTGAACGTAAGGAAAGCAGAGTGAAAGACTGGTGGAATTAACAGCCTGGGCTGATGCACATTCAGCCTTTTGAAAAAACCTTTTTCATTCTTTGACAGCCCTATTATGAATAGAGCTCCATATTCCAGATTCTTGGCCTCGTGTTTGGATTTCCACACTTTCTGGAGTTCAGACTTTTTATTAAAACTTAGTTTTTTGGTGATTGAGTCTTTTATGCTGTAATAGTTCTGTTTGGGTGTGATTGCGTACTCTCAGCCGCTGCAACGTGTTGCAGAGCTCGTATGTTTTAGGGTGTTGTTAGTGCCTGTAATAAATGAAAAATGAACTAGTAATGGCATTTCTAAATTATACGAGAAAAAAATGAGAGGCGTGAATCGAAACCATCTTAGAGAGCTGTCTGTCATGCAAAGTTGCTGAAGATTCTTGTACAGAAAGGTTCCCACGCAACATAAAGGGTGCTACTTCACCCTTTTATCACCACTGCTGCATTACAGGGGCATCCTTGTGCCCACAGCCCCCCTGCCAGAACACTTCTCTGGGGCCAAAGGCAGCCAGAAAAAAGACATTGCAATTAAGGGTAGCCTGATAATTGCATTGTTGGGAACCAGTCTGGCACAAGAATCTCCCGAGATCAAAGGAGTTCAAAGCTGGTTTGAGATGTCTGCTGCATCGGATACTTTTTGGCTGTGGCTCAGGATCTTAACCATAGCATGATCTGTGGAGGCTTATGGTCATACAAACTGTGGGCAAGAAGAGGTGTAAGCGTTACGGACGGCTCATATTGTTACAAGATTTATTGGAAGTTGTTTCTGAGAAAGTGTAGCTCTGTGATAATTGTTTCTGCCATTCTAAAGTTAACCAGAGAATTCCTTCCTAAACCAGCGCTTCACTGTGACTGGCCACAGCTGCTCTCCTTCTGCTGTTAGAAATCTGGAAGGATTTTTTGCCAGTGACCTCTCATTACAAAAGGTGAACGTTTTTTTTTTTTTGCTCTCTCTTCCGCAGGCATTAAACCATTTCAGTGTGACCGCTGTGGGAAAAAGTTCACCCGAGCTTACTCGCTAAAGATGCATCGCCTGAAGCACGAAGGTAAACGCTGTTTCCGGTGCCAGATATGTAGTGCCACTTTCACTTCCTTCGGGGAATATAAACACCACATGCGGGTTTCCCGGCATATTATCCGCAAGCCTCGGATTTACGAGTGCAAAACATGTGGCGCCATGTTCACCAACTCTGGAAATTTAATCGTTCACCTGAGGAGCTTGAACCATGAAGCATCAGAGCTAGCAAACTACTTCCAGAGCAGGTGAGGTGCACAGCAAAAACCTAACAGGGAAACTTGCTTTTTTTTTTTTTTTTTTTTTTTTTTTTTCTAAATCATCTTTTCCTGCTTCCAGGGCAGCCTGCTGTGCCTCTCATCAGGTTGCCGGCTAATTCCAGTCAAATTCATTCTTGCACCACTATCTGTTATATCTGATCTGTCTTACAGCATATAAGCTATATAGGAGGGCACTGAAGAATCGAGTGATATGCAGAAGCTGCTTCTGGGCTACTTAATTTCTCTTTTCTGTAGTATCCATGGACAGGCTGATGGTGTTAAGCCATAGTGCTCTATGCTATAGTACCTGTGGAGTTCTGTAAATGATTTGCTATTCAAAATCTTGTACATAGCCTGTTCACTTGCATAGGGAGTAGACTTACTACTTCATTTTAAGTACTTGCTTGATGGTGGATATTGTGGAAAGACTGCATGACTCCATATCGTCTTTTTTTTCATTTTCTAGGTAACATACTACTAAATGATCAGATTAATAGGGTTTGAAATAGTAAGGGCCAGTTGGACATTTCTGGTTTATCAGGGCACAAAAGACTTGGCATATCTCACAAATGCACTTCAATGAAGGCTATTAAAAGGGTTGTGAGGCATGAGACGAGAACTGTATTCTCATATTGAAATAAATGTTTGTAACTGTTGGAATTTGAGATAGAAAAATACAAAAGTGGATGAGTGAAATTGGAGGAAGATAGATCTCACAGCTCTTAAATCTATAGAGAGGGTGCAGCTTGGTGTGTATAAGTCATCTGTCGCCAGCAATGCAAAAGAAATGTATTGTAAATGTTACGGCATCTACAATACCATCCCTCGTGAATTCTAGACGTTAGGCTCTTTCCCCTACAAAGCATTTCAGCATTTTGTTCTATTTGGTTATCTCAGAAGTGGTGTAGGATGAAAAAAATTGCAAAACAAACCAGGAAAGCCTGTCGCTGTTTTTCCAGCAGAATATTGTTTAAAAGTACAAGTGCTTCATATCTGTGGGTTTACGCAGTTCTTGTCTTAGCGCTTGTGCCAAAAGTAGAGTGAAAACTCTTAAGGGATGATGCCATGATTGTGGTAAGCACTTTATTGTTGTCATCAAATTCAAGTCAGATTAAAGTATGTGATTTTAGTTGTCTATAGGCCTTCCTCTAGATTGAATTTACAAACACTAGGTTTAGCATAGTTGATGGTGAATCTGGATTTGAAGCAGTGAATGCTGCTGTCAGTTAAGAAAAGGACTGCTTTTAAATGGATTATTACAAGGAGGAACTAAAGCATACAAATATGCATATATGTAATGTATATGTATATATATATACTTGCCTCAAGTACAAACTTACACGTCTGGTGCTGAAAATCTGCAGAGAAATTTTATTTTTGTTATGTGCTCATGCTCCGAAAATACAGCTGGAGAGTTTGGTAGATTTTCTTTGCATACATTCAGCCATCCGTTGGTAAGAGTAAGTTACAGGACTGTTGTCCAGAAAGGACTGAAATGGGAAGGAAACGCAATTCTGTTCTTTTCCCAGTAGCGTGATACGTGCCAACGTCACAAACCACCGCCGTAGTTGGCAGCCTCCTTACGCTTTCAGCAGAACCCTTGCTTCCTCACCTCACGCTTCTGTTTACAGCCTGTCCACTCTCAGAGGAGTGCTGCTGCTGTTTCTTGGGTGGATCTTATCTCGGTGGTGGAAAAGGCTCGCATCTTTGCCAGTGCTGAACTCATTTTTGTTTCTATTTTTAAAGGTTGAGTGCTCCCTTTTTGCAATGAGGTTTTCAGTGCCATATGATGTTCCAGACATTAACTTTCATTCTCATCAAGGTGATACAGTCTAAATAATAAGAAGTTGCTGTGTAGGAAATATGGATGCACAACAATGCGAAATAGATGCCTTGGAATAAATTCTCTGTGTGTTTAAATGAGAACCAGGTTATAGAGCTTAGTGAAGCATGTCGCTGTGATGATCTTAGAGCAATGTGAAATGAGTACCTTTGTTCTCTGTGCAATGCAGTACGTAGCTTGTCTGATGTAACTGATAGAAAGAAACTGATACCGCTAATGTTTGTGTGAGAAATGACATTTCTCTTCTGTCCTTTGCCCCTCTTCTAGTGACTTCCTAGTACCGGACTACTTAAACCAGGAACAAGAAGAGACCCTCGGGCAGTATGAGCTAGGGGAGCATGGCTTTGAAAGCAACTCTTCTGTCCAAATGCCTGTCATTTCACAGGTGTCGTCAACTCAGAATTGCGAAAGCACTTTCCCCTTGGGGTCTCTGGGTGGGTTGGCAGAGAAGGAAGAAGATGTGCCAGAGCAGCCAAAGACTAACGCCACTGCTGAGGCAGCCGCAGGTGACCCTCCAAAACCGGAGCTGTCATCTATTACTATTGAATAATTCATGGTTTGGTTTCATTTTTGTTCTTTGGAAAGTGCCTGTGTTTGGTCCTGTACATTTTAATTTAATTTTTTTAAACAAAAGTGGGGAGATTTTCCCTTTTTACTTTGTAAGCTACGCTTTAAACAGAAAACTGCAACAGATGTTACATTATTTTTCGTGACTGAATGATCACTTCTGTGAAAATATTTAAGACTGAATGCACAAAAAGATCTTGTCAGAACATCATGGAAGCTGTGATACACTTCTAAAGAAGAACAACTGATTCAGATCACTTTATCTATTTCTTCTTCCACAGTTAGAGCAGCTCATTAAGTTTCTCTTGCTTCTGCAGACCCTCTGGTTAAGGGAAAGAAATCAGAGGAAACCTTTTTAAAATGACAAACAAAAGGATGCATTGAAAATCATTATTGAACAGTTTTGACTAGTTTTGAGTGGATGCTTTAATCTGCTGCGTAAAAAAAAAAAAAAAAAAAAAAAAAAAAAAAAGACACTTCCTATCTCTGTGCCTGCTGTTTTTCAAAGCGCTTACTGTAAGCCTTTTCTTGGAAATGGTAAGCATTTTTGAATAACAGTCACACACTTTTTAAAAACACATTGTCCCTTTTCATCTCAGATGAATCAGTTTTGACAAACCAAGTGATGTCATGCCAGGTATTCCTACTTCTTATATTCCAGTCCTTTTAGAAACTGCTCGATCAAATAGCCTGTCCAGATTTGCCCATCTAAGGTTAGGCGTGGAAGTACTACCGTCAGGAAAAGTCTAACGGTGCATAATGAATTGAGGGTGCTAGAAAAGTGTATATCCGTGCAAGCCTGACAAATATCTCATGACTGTATCTTTCTGCAGAAGGGGAACCACGTATGAAAACGAAGGTTTTCCCAAACTGAAATTCGTAAATCGTGGCCAGATTGTTTGCAGTTCTGGTCACTTCCCCCTACCGTATACGCTGTATTTTTTACTAATCGTCAAAAGCTAGCTAGAGGGAGTTTACAGATGGGAAAAAATGAGCTCTTTTGTGCATTATTGCACATTTTTTTGTTTATACATATGCATGTATAGTTTCTGAGATTTTTATTAGTCTGCTTTGGACAAAACAAGCAATTTATTCTCTTTAGAGGCCAACTTTCTAACCCAACAGGGGGTTGTTTACAAAAAGCCTATATAGCAATGATGAATCGTTCCTGTTGCAAAACATTTTAAATCCTTGCCAACTCGGTTTATTAAAGGCCATTACTCCAACTCCATACACAGCTCAAGTAAGCAATAAATTGAAAGATTTGCAATTCCATTTTTCCATATTTAGAAAAAAGCTACAAATTTAGGGTGTGGGATTTTCAGAGCAGCACGTCTTGTTTTGTCGAGGCTGTTTGGGCTATAGTACTGCTTTGAAACCTAAATTAGGAAATACATTAGGAGGTTTGTGATTTTTTCTTATTGCTTCTGAAGTTAACCCGGTGTTTGATGCCAAATGCCTATCGCCTACAGATGACAGGCTAAGCGAGTAGGTATTACTTGATCTTAGTATTCCAAAGGCATGATTTACTCCCTTAGTTTTGAATCTTGGTTGGTTTGGGTTTTTTTTAATTGTTGTTTTCTGTCCGGATTTGTTTTACGCAAACATGAGGAGGAAATGAAACCAACAGAGAAAGGTTGCTCCTGAAGAAACAGAAGACACAAAAGTCGTATTATATTGCAAGATCAATTTGTATTCAGTTAGCTTAGGCAGCTCTGATACTCTAGGTCTGAGTTGTTTCTACTAATAGCCAGCTTTTGTAAGGAAAAAAGTTCATTGCCCTTTGGAAAGAGCTTAAAGGGTTTCAGTGACTTGAACAATTTTTCTCTGCTGTGTTTTAGGTAAAAAACACACATTTGAGTTAAACAGAGTGAAAACAGTTGGGATTTAAGTCCTTTCCAGGTTAGTGGAATGAAGTTTCTCCACCAGATCCAAGGGGTGTTTTAGAAACATGCTGCAAAGTTCTCTGCTACAATTCAGTCTTGTATGTCTACCTTTGTAGGTCTTCTTAAAAGGGCTTGAAGGAGAAGTTCTTTTTCTGGGATGCTGATTAGTCCAGTGTCTGTTGACGGGCTGAATTGAAAGACCAGTTCTCTTCCACTTCTGATTTCTATAACTGGGAAGCCAGTGAGACAAGAAAATGCCTTTTGCTGAGCTTTATCCTGAAGTACAGGGCTATGACACTGAACTCAAATACATAATTTTCTTTTTTTCTGGTGTTACTCCACCTTGCAGGTCTATGAGAACCCTTTGTAATTTATGGAGTAGAAAGTGCTCACACAGAAACACATTTCCAGACTCTACAGAAGTAATAATCAAAGACGCTTAGATATAGACGGACATCCTCTTCTGTCAGAATCTGGTAATTTGCACCCATTAGATATTTTGCTAAACAGTTTATCGGTGAGGAGATGTGCAAATACAGAATAGACATATCTGGATATTGGATTTTTAAGACTTAAAATTTTGTGTCAGAAGGCAAACTGCTTTCTGAATACCAAAGGGCGGGGGGGGGTGTGGGGTGTGTTTAAAAAGACTTCGTAGCTCTAATCTGTTCTTGAAAAGAAATGAGTATCATTAACGGTTAACACCTTGGTAGGAGGCAGTTCATGGGTTTCATTGTTCACTGCACTGTGTTACACATTATCTTTTCAACCCTGTAAATCTGTGTAACATCTTCATTTAGCTCTCACTTTTCAGTATGATTCATCTGCAGGAACAATAGAGTTCTTAGAGGATTTTTGGTTTGTTTGGTTTAGGGTTGGGTTTACTTGTTAATTTTCCTGTTTGTATTGTTTCTTGCTTAATACCTCTTTTCTCCATAGAAGTGAACGCAGATTAGATACAAGTACCGTTTTATTTCCCCTCCCTAACTTGTTGGAAGTGTTAGGTTCTTTGAAACGCTGGTGTCCTTCACAGGAGAGATGTAAAAAAAAAAAAAAGGTCTTAAAACCACCTCTGTTGCTAATATGCTTAGAATCCAAATTGAGCGAGATAGATATCGAACTAAGCTAGAAAAAACTTGCCTTAAACGACACTAAAGCATAAATGTCTTTCAATACATTATCAGAGGGTTTTGAACTCTGGACTGCATTTTCTTTTTTCCTCTTTTTCTCCCCTTGCCATCCCCCCCCCCTTCCCTCTTTTTTCTTCTTTTTCCTCCTTTTTTCTTATTTTCCCCCTTTTTCTTTTATCTTTTCCTTTTCTCTCTCTTTTTTCCCTCTTTTTCCTCTTCCCCTCTTTTTTTTCTCTCCCCCCCCTTCTTTCTCTTTTCCCTCTTCTTTATCTTTTTTCTCTTGATTTTTTTTATTTTCTTTTTTAAAATATTCTAGAATCATAGAATGTTTTGGGTTGGAAGGGACCCCTAGAGGTCATCTAGTCCAACCCCCCTGCAGTGAACAGGGACACTCCCCACCCCCAAAACTGAAAAAAACCAAAAAAAACCCTGGCTTTTGGTATGCATTTATATTTCTGCTTGAGGAGGATCACAGAATCACAGGAGAGTTGAGATCGGAA